AATATTGATAACCATTTTGTTATCGGATAAAATAGATTAGAGTTTGTATATCCTTTTTTTACTTCTTAGTACAATATATTAATCTGCACGATCCTGTTTTTAAGAGCCAATAGTAGAGTTGAATGTTTAATAACCAATGGGAAGTGGGAGTGGAAAGGGAAGATTTACAAACTGGCTTGTCTGTCCACCATGTCATAAAAAAGTTTGTTTTATTTCCCTTTATAATTCTTGTATTGGTTCTAAAAATATATACAGAGTTACGAAGATACTTGGAAAATATTCATAGCTCATTGATAAATTAACAGTTTACGGCTGAAAAACCTAGCAGACTAATTAAGGCAACTCGTCAATCGTACTCGTTACGATGAAAAGATCAGTAGGTGTAACGTAGAGTTTCTAGTTACGGAACGAACTGGGAAATGTATTTAAACCAAGAACGGCAGTTTTAATGTAAGAGTGTATGTTCTACTCCTACTAGATTCCCTGCTAGTCTAGTGGTAAGCGACGCCCGTTCTTGAGTTTGCGATTTCTCTAAAAGTTAATCTTGGTGTATATTTTTACAGGTGCTTTCCGATAAGAAGAAATATATTGAAACTTGTGGATGAAGGAGTTGTAGCAATGGTAACATTTATAGGGCTGATGACTGATTAAGCAGTTTTTATAATATTCAAATACGAAGTATATTAAGTAACATATTTTTAATTTATGTTTTGACCCGTGATCACCGCTGCCACAAAGCATCCGAAACGTCGAGGCGTAGTTAAACGTAAATAAAAATACGTTAATTAACATATTTCACGTTTTATACCGTTAGAAATATTTTTTTTTATGTGTAAACTACACATAATAAATTCCGATTTTTTAAAATAGATTCTGAATTTTATAAAACGTATATTCGTTACACAATTATTTAATAAATAAGAGACCTACATATTGCTTAACTTAAGTAATCGAGTTCTCAGAGAAGTAATACCAATATAATCCAAAGAAAGCGTAGATTCATGAAGCCAATTTGCAAAGCTGTGTGTTCCGTCGTAGAGGTAATTTACATTAGTTCAACTTGCAGTCAGCAAAACTTCGCCCACACTCCTACACTAACGAGATTAGCGAAAATTTATTTCCAACGCCTTTCGTCTTGTTTTTTTAACCGTGTTCTCATATAGTTTATGACTTTTTATATGGTTCTGTGAAAAAACAATAATCGTTACTTTCAAAATATTTTTATTTTTTACATGTTATTGCACATGAAGGCATTAGGCAAGGAAAAATTTTTTTCGTCCTCGAAAATTTTTTCAATTTTTTTCGGTTTTTAAATTATAAATTATTGTCAAGAGAGTAAAGTTTTGAATATTTATCAAATAACCAAACTTCTGTAGTTTACGCGCATTAAAATAAAAAACTTTAACTTATTTAAAAAATATTTTAACTACGGCCCGACGTTTCGGGATGCTTTGCAACAGCCATGACTACGGTGAAATTGTCTCTGCTTTATGCAATATATACATTTAATCGGATGTAGATTAGCCAATTTGTTTAGCTAATTATTTTATTTGCCTTTAGCTATAGATGTAATATTCGTCTGCATTCGAGTTTCCCTTTTTTATATAAAAGTTTATGAAATATTTTTCAGCATTTGATGTTCAAGTCAATGCATGACTTCCGGGATAGGTGTACACAATATACATATATGCAGTCACGTATTGTGCACTCGAGCCTGGTTTTGCCATAAATCAACGTCTAAAAAAATTGTGTCAAATAATTCATGACTTTACATTTTAACTTTATTCGGGGAAACATGTGCCTTCTAAATGTTAATAGCGTTATCTATATATATAATTGAAAGCGTTAACATTTTGTTTAATAGTAGAGGACAGACTAGAAAGTAGACTAGTAGACTAGTAGGTGAAATACCCCAGCCATAAAACATCTAAACAAGATACGCTGTCGACTTACTTTAGCTTTGGATATTCGGAAATCCACCGACTGAAACCGAAACGCGATTAACTTCACGGTGGTGGTTTGTGACCCGGGTTTTTGATATTACCACCCATTTGTTTCAGAAAAATTATGAATTAATTTAAAAATCGAAAATAAATTCAAAAAAAATTTCGACTCGGGAAGGACTTGGACATTTTTTTTCGATTTTTAAATTATATAGTGGTTTCATGCGCAATAACATGTAAACAATATTAATGTTTTCAAACGTTATACATTTGTAATTTCATCTTCAAAGTCATAAGCCGCAAAGCATAAGACGTTCAACCTTAAAACGCAAGTGTTAAATTTGAAATTACATTGCGCGAGAGGTGCATGTATCAAAAAGTTGAAAAAATTCGTCGATGAGGTGTAGGACTCGGTAGCTCAATTGGTAGAGCAACAGCACGGAAAGCTGACGATGCCGGTTCAAGTCCTGCCCGAGTCGAAATTGTTTTTAATTTTTTTTTCAAAATTATGCATTGAAAAACTTGAAACATGTTGGACCCGGTGTGGCATCGCACCCACGGCCCGTTGATTATTAGGCATAAATTGCTACCGTTAGACCAATGAGCCCACCAAAATCATGTTATATAGATGTACAACTTATGTGACTTGCATATTAATAGTCACATAACATAGACCGCCAGTAATTAATGTAGTAACTAATCATTAGCAATATAAATAATTTAATATGTCCATTATTTATTCTATGCGGATAATAATTTGTTAAACGGTTTTAAGTTATTGCATTGAATGCATTTAATTCAAATAAAACACTCTAGCGGTATAAAACGCGATACATATTAGTTATTTTTACTACCGCCCGACGTCCCGGACGCGTTGCAGTAGCCGTGGTCACGGGGAGACTAAAGATGGAGAGTGTCCCTTACGTCAAAGTAAAAAACTGCTACGCTAGCGCCACCTATTACGTCGAAGTCGGTATTTGGCGAAACTAGCCGAGTGTATGCAGAATTGACTTAAAATATTTTTCAAATAAGTTTACATAATACATATCGCGTTTTAAACCGTTAAAGTGTTTTATTTAAATGTTTACTACTCGCGTAAACTACAGACATTATGCATTTAATTTCCTAAATAACACGAAAGATTAATTATTCTATCTCCTAATATTGCAACCTTTTTATTTAGCATTTAAAAGGCTAATAAAGAACGAAATACTTCACCGCTGTGTAAAGTGGACATACAGGGTTAAAGAAGAGACTCTATACACAAGTGTAGTGGGCCTATGAAGAAATGTATATTTTTAAGCTGACCGTGTCTGCAACTGTAGCGTCATATTTAATGTTAGCTGTGTCAGCGACTTCGTCCGCATAGAAAAGTTATTTTGGCCATCAACATCATCAAGTAAATCTTAAATTATAAACATATAGTGTCGTGGACATTTTTTTTGTACATATTTGTTGGGTATCTTGAGCCGTTTTCGCAGCATCAGCAACGAAAACGCACAATGATGAATAATGTATCCCGTTTTCTCCACATTTCTCACTGTTTCTACGCGCTTTTTGGTCACAACGTCATGTCATATCCTACAGCCTTCTTCGACAAATGTTCTAACCAACGCAAAGATAATTTTTAATCTCCACCAGTTTCTGTAACGTTTCGCGTTCAAACATACAGGCAAACAAACAAACTCTTCTGCTTTATATATTAGTATTAAAGTATTAATATTAATTAGTATAGATAAAGCCCGATTTTGCAAATAAACACAAACATTAAAATAAGCTACTTATTGTTTTTCTTCAAATCGCTTATTTCAGTGCGTTTCGTTGAAGAACTTCTTCAAATGGCTAAAACTTTTTCAATGGCATCCGATTTCAATAAAACACGATCTGTCAAAGTGATATAATTTACCGGCAAAACTTGCGAACGGGTTTATACAGCACTTTGAGAGAGTACATGAAAAATAATTCACCCACGCTTGCTTTTCACGGTTTAAAACGCGAAATATATTAGTTAAACTATTTACAATTTATTTTGACAACTGCTCGACGTTTCGAATGCTTTGCAGCAGCCGTGGTCACAGGGGTCAGTTAGGTAAGTTAATATTTCGTGTTTTAAACTGTTAAAAGTGTTTTATTTAAATATCCTTCATTAAACAAATCGGGATCTCTATTTCTTTTTATATTGTGGATGGGAAATCGAAATTAAGATGAAATTCACACGCGCTCATACACACAATCACATCGCTACTAATAATAATAATAAAAACTCTTTATTGAACAAATATAGACATAAGAACATAGATACTTAGAATTATAATATTAACAAAATAAAACATGTTTGTGCAAAGGCGGCCTTATCGCCTATGGCGATTTCTTCCAGGCAACCTTTGCATGTAGAAATAAGAAATAAAAAGATTATTTTAGTAAACAATCAAAAGTCACCATGAAAAATTAAATTATACAATAAAAAAGATAATTTAAACTAAATTAACACTAAATTACTAAAGGTAAACAATTACAAAGCATTTTATAGATTAAAAAAAAACACACACACTTAACACCTAGAAAAGCATATGAAGATCCTAAATGTGATTAATTCTAAAGCCAATGAGGCCAAGGCTAAACAGCATTACCAAGAAAGTATTGCTTGACCCTGACCTTAAATATAGTGTGATTCTGTGAGAGGCTGACTGTGAGTGGTAGCTAATTCCATAGGCGGACAGCCTGTACCGAAAAAGAAGAGTCATAAAACTTTGACGAGTGGATCGGCATGGAGAGAAGGCGGTTGTTAGTAGAGCGAAGGTCCAGTTCATGGGAGGAACCCATAAATATAAATCTCTGCTTCTGCTTTAGGTAGGAAGGAGTTCGCGAATCAAAAAGGATAGAGAAAAGAAGACAAAGGATGTGAGTATTGCGACGAAGTCTTATGGGCAGCCATTTAAGTTTTGATCGGAACTCTGAGACATGGTCGTACTTCCTTCTTCGACTTCTTCATTACTGCCACAGCTATTCTGATAGTCGATGTTCTATTTACCAACACTCTCTTCGAGCTTCGATATTCTAGACTTCCCTTCTACTAGTGAATGAAGCAATTGCGCTGGTAAGTTGAGACGATATTGCAGATTTAAAGTTGATAATAATGGTGCGTAGGGATAATACTTCTTGTTTTAAGCATTCAAATGACTCTGATGATGGAGCGACAACGTCTCTCGATGAGGCCAAATCGCTGGCCGCGGGCTCATCGATTAGAGTTACGCTGCTAGAAGCGACATAATTTCTGTTTCCTTTAGATCGAGCCAGCAAACAAGGTTTGCAGTAATTTTTCGCACTCGGGCTTGTTGCTTTCGGACTATCTTTGTGCAGGCGAATATTGAAAAACTGTACACCTAACGCCATCTTCAGCAATTGCGAAGAATTTCGCACAAACAGTGCAATTGTATCTAACAATCCATTGCCTAATCCATCTGGATTAGGCAATCGATTTCGTAAAAAAAGTTCACTAAGGAACAACTAGATGGCGTTGTTAACATTTTTGGTTGGATTTTAAGTGTTTTTAAGAATGTTATTTATTATCCAAATACTTATCACTTCCTTAATCACTTTTTGTAGATGCAACGCTCCAAATCGCTTATCGTGTATATAAGCTTTTTCCCTCTCCAGTTACTAATGATATCCGAAATAACAATGCGCTTGTTGACAAACACAAAACCGCTGATTTCAAAATAGTCTTAAACTTATTTCACGTATAAATCAAGAAGTTTCACAATACTAACACTATATTAATTATAACGCTATATTATTTACTTTGTTAGTCGAATAATTGGCAAAATCTTCGACAAATTAAATATAAAGATACAACGAACTGTCACTCCAACAACGAAGCTTTGTGATGATTTGAACTATTATACAGAAGCGACCTTAATACAAAAAATATGATTCATATTAAAATCCATACAATTTTCAGCAAAAAGACCATTCGTGTACATTGGTCGGTTATGCCAATGGAATGATGGCAACTTTTGATCTTAATGGAGATTCGCCTCTCCTAACTGACGTGAAAGATGGGGTGTAAGATATATATACTAATATTATCCTTCCGCGCTTCTAATACTACGATAAATAATTGCTTAGGAATTGTAATCAGACATATGTTGACTGAGTTTACATTCGTTTAATTTATGCCGACATTAGGGGAACGCGTGTCGGAAACAATCGAATGGATGTGCGGCTCTGAGCCGTTCGATGGTGCGTAGAGTAACAAATCTTTCCCCTGGCCCAATGTGTTACTTTAATTCGTTTCCATTGATAAATAGGCGTTTGTTCAAATATGTAATCCACACCATTACATATTTGAACAAACGCCTAATTTTTCTGAAACATGACAATATATATGAAATTACATTAATTTGTTGAAAACTTTATTATTTTTTACATGTTATTGCATATGAAGGCACTATATAATATAAAAATCGAAAATAAATTGAAAAAAAATTCGATCTTTAAATTATAAATTTTTTTTTCATTGATGTAAATACAATCAAACACATTATTAACAGGACTTAAACACAATACAGGTATGTAATAAATACATCAAATTTGCCTTAAAAGGTTCCCTAAAAAGGAAATTTTTCAGCGTGAATTTTGATACATCAGCAATCATAAGCGATACAAAAGTGAATTGAAATAGATGGTTGATGATAGTAAAAAGATGAGAAATATGTTCAGTACAATAATTGTACGATTCGTTGTCGATTGATTGTCGAGTCGTAATTTTTACGATACGACTGGTTTAAATATGTATATGCAAAAATTAAACTTACTTTTTTTATTTTTTATTTGATTTTGGCTTATATTCAACCTAAGATATCATATTTTATAACATTATAATAATAACATATTTTTTAAATACAATTAATTATCTTGCTTAGACGAGTCTTGTGTTTATAAAAACTAAGCACTCGCCATACCTGCATCCTTTTTATATCGCCGTTTTTAATATTCATTTGTTATAGAAATAAAAAAATATTTTAATTAACGTTTGACATTTGTTATATTAATATTTTGTACATGCTATAGCACATAAAGGCACTATATAATTTAAAAAATTTTCGACTCGGGCAGGACTTGAACCGGCATAGTCAGCGTTCCGTGCTGTTGCTCTACCAATTGAGCCACGCAGACGATGCCGGTTAAAGTAGTTATTTTTGATTTTAATTTTAATTAAATTTGTTATCAGAAATATCAAAGGAACTTTTTATAAACCTATGTAGACTATCTGTGGAACATTCTGTACATGTATTTAAGCTTTAAAATGGTATGTAAAGCTTATCGTAGGTTATGTAAATTTTCTCCATGCGACGAGTTAAGAAAATATTCGACGAAGAAATTCTGCGAATCCTTACGAAAATATAAAATTCTCCAACAAGTTCTTTACTAGCAGGACTGATGTCATACTGGACGAGTTGAGTCAATTGAACATACTTGCAAACTAGATTCTCCATTCAAGTTCGCAGTGCAATCGACGCTTCGTGCACTGTGTACTCGTATACTCTGGGGCTGGGAGACCGTCCCTTGTTGATTCACAAGAGAATTTGCAAAGATATCCTTCGCCTCCGAGCGATTTACGTAAACGAGGTGGTGCACATATATTTCCCCTTAACCTCTTTTCAGATCTCGCTATAACTTAAGCATATAGCTCGCTATAGTAAATAAATTAAATCTCGGTGATTGACGCAGAGGATTGCGGTAAGTGGTTCTTCAGCATATCACATAGATAACAAGAAATATAACTCAATCAGGGCAAAAGTAAATACATACGTGTGAATAAAATGTATTTCTGAGACGAACAGATAAATGTATCCGCCCCATAGCAGGGACGGGAGTTTCTTAAATGCACGAAAGTATATCTAACCTTTAAATTAAACGCTTCCCGTGGTCACGGGGAGACGTTTTTTAAACAGTTTACGTGTTTTATTTAAATGTGTACTATTCGCGTAAACTATAGACAGTTTTTATATCTAACGTGTTTGTACTATATATAACAGATGCCTGTACAAATAAACTGTATATTTGCTTATTGTAAACGAGATATATTATTTTATATTAAAGTAGTCTGAAAGGAGCTTAACTATCGTTGAATGAATATAATAGCTACATGTGGTTACCGATGGAAAAATATTCTCAGCCAGGAAGATGGATGAATAACAACGATTATTTAAACAAGCTGATTTTAAACGCTCAAGTGGAGGTATTTTTTTCACCGGTGTCGTATTCGATATAATAAAAATTCCTCTCGCTCAATTTATTATTTTATTTTAAACGGCACAATGGTTTTGACGCCTTAACACTTCACCAATCCTTGGCTTAGCTCGTTATCTCATATAGGTATTGTGAACGAAAAAGACATATCAATGTGTCCAACTTTTTTATTGATGGTGTGAATGCCTAATGCACGCCCACGTCAGGCAATAGTGACATGGGGTGTGTGGTAAATCGTATAGACGACGAGAACCACTAAACTCACCACGAGCCCTCTACGGTGCTTTGATTGGGCGATTTGATTGCCCTGGGATCAATGTCTCCAACTAGCATAGAAAAAAATTAAATATTCATTCGTAACAAATAAAAATGTGTTGCAATACAGTTCTGTGTCTCTTTTTCTCAGAACACTATTGTGTTCTGTTTATTCTTATTCTGTAACAGTTTTTAATAATAATGTCTATATTTAAGATCAGAGGAGCGATAGAAGTAAAGCGAAAACGACAAGTATGGAATTTAATCTCGTCTCGAGATGGCATCTTTGCATTCATCTTTTCAATATGCGAGATATTATTTGCACCACAATTCAAATAACTTCGGATGTGTTCATTCATTTTAAGTAATGTTCTCAACAATATATTTCATTATTTGAATATATCTTTGAACCTGCATCTTGTAGATTTAATTTGAATCTCTCAACCTATACGAATTTATAAAGCTGAAGAGTTTGTTTGTTTGAACGTGCTAATCTCAGGAACTGCTGGTTCGAATTGAAAAAATATTTTTTGTCGGTTAGAGCATTTATCAAGAAAGGCGATATAGGGGCTTTAAGCTATAAAACAAAAAATATGTATAAAAGAATGATTCTCTTTTACATGAATCTCTTTTTAATCTAAAAATATGTCTATAATATATGTTTATCTTTTAAAAGTAACTAGCAAGAATGACGAGACGCGACTGACGTCTTGGGTAGCAGCTTACATTTATAAAGATGAAGAGGAGGTTTGCAAAAACCAAATTTGGATGCCCAAAATAACTATGTATTATATGCGGACGAAGTCGCTGGCACAGTTAGTCCATTTTAATCAATTCAATAACTTTAATTGAAACCTGGAATATTTCATTTATGATTTCTACATGTACAAATGAGAACCTTAATAAAACTAGTTTTATTTTTAATAAAACTATATTGAAATATGACACACGCGGGACTCAAACCCACGAATATAGTACCGAGTCATAAATCGAAATCCAATTCATCGCTGGATAATTAGCACAATTTCAACTAGAGTTCATATATTTAAGATGCCGCATTTTGATAGTAATAAATATTTTTATATTAAAATTGTGGAGAATGCAGGTATATATACGTTAGCAGATTGTACGTAGCCCACCTTGGATCGATCCAAGGTTTACCAAAACAAAATATTTATTTTAATGTACATTGTGTAAAAAATAAATAAGAATACGTTTGCTCTGAAAGAAAAATCGTGAGAATACTGGCATGCCTTAGAACCGAATTTTTGTGAACGTGTGTCATCTATTTTCTCTATCGATTGTCTCATGGCCAGTGTGGTTAAAGAGGGAAACTGTTGGGGAGCTGATAATGGTGTTAAATTTTATTTATTTACCGAAAACAAAATAAAACAATATTATAAACGGTTCATACATATAGTCATAAAATTAAAATGTTAACTATCTGCTCTTATTTCAGCGTTGCTTCAATAAAATTCCCGACTTTATTTGCGGTTGAAAATTAATTGCCGAGTACGTTATGAATACGTAGTTCTGTTTCCATATATTGAAATTCATTTTTCATCCCGAGATATACATTATGCTCGTACGCGTATTCTTTTAAAAAGCTGAGGCAAGGAAACTTTGTATAAAGATATAATAAAATAAATTCTGTATCTAAATTTAATTATTGGTGGACCAAAACGAAGCGAATCATAAATTTGACACTTCATGCTCATTACGAGCGATAGAAATTCTACTTTTTTATAACAAAGAACAAAGAAGCGTTTGGTTTATAAACGGCAATCATGAACATTTATAACTATATAATGAAAGAAAGTGTTTAGTCTTGAAAACGGTAATATTTTCACATGTTTTCACGTGGTGGCACTACATAATGGTGC